CGCTGCCACCGGCAGCGTCGGACTTAAAACGCCGCTGGCTATTCCAAATCTGTCAAGGAATAGCCGAAGTGCGTAGACACTGCATCAAATGTTGCAAGAAAACAGCGAAATCTTCGTCAGGCTGCGCCGAGGGATCAGAAATCCAAGCCAGTTCGCGAATACACTCTTGAATATTCAACTATTCAGCGCTCCCAAGTGACAAAATGCCTTCAAACCCAAAAGCTCACCTCGAAACATCTTTGCAAAACACCAGGCACTTGAGGGGCACAAGGCCGAGCCGAAGAAACGCGTACGCCACCAGCCACTTCTCCGCCTCCGTCGGGACTTGGAAATAAAACTCGCTAATGCAGCTCCCGGCGCTGCCGTCTGCATTACTTCCTTCTTCCTCCTCAATTTTAATGATGAGGGGTTTGTGCAGCATCAAATGCTGCAGCTGGGAAAGCTGCAAATGCGCAGAAAAGGCGTTCAGCGGCAAGCATTGTCCAGATCTCCAGCCGCGGGGACAATGGCTCCAATACTGATCTTTCCAATCACAATAACTGATTTTTTTATAATTGAAACTGGTTTTTGTAAACAGGACTCACCTCGTGGTTCTGAGTGGCGGAAACGAGAATAGTTTGGTAGTGTCGCGCTGCTGTAGAGGGCAAAAGCTGAAGAAGTCTTTTCGTGTCGCTTTCGAAGCCGAAAGCGAACAGCAAGTCCGCCTCGTCAACAACCAAAACTTCCAAACCCAACTGCAACTCAAACTGCTGCTGCTGCCGCCGAATATTATTCAGAAAATGCAAAATGCCGGTGGGGGTCCCGACCATTATCGTGGGAAGCTGCAGCAGCTTTCCAGAGTTCCCAGGGGGGCTGGCGGTGTGCGAAACAGACAAAATGTCGCTTGTGTACTTCAACATACTCTTTATAACGTCATGCACCTGTAAATATAACTCATTTGTCACAAAATTCCAATCCTTTTCGCCAAAATCCCAACTCTTTTCCCAACTCTTTTCGAAAAAATCCCAACTGCTTTTCGAAAAAATCCCAACTCTTTTTCTCCCCTTTTGTCCCAATTCCCTCCAAAGCACCAAAGTACAAACTCGCAATATTTGCAGAAAAATTTTTGCAGAAAGTTATTCTGCAAAGTGTGGGGGTTTTCTGCTCAAGTTTCAAGCATTCATTTGACCAAGTGGCCATTTGCTGCACCTTAAGCCTGCAGCTCATTGCATGCACTTGTTTAAATATATATACATATATATATATATATATATATATATTTATAATGTAAATATTAAGTTATATTTTTTTAATTCTTTATCTTTTACTCCGCGAAGATCTCATGAAAGCTGCGACGCTTTTGCTTACTTGAATGCACAGTTCTTTTGTTGGGACCAGAACCATTCCTGAAAGAGCAGCGAGCGCCGCCGTTTCTGACGTTTGCTGCTGCTGCTGCTGCTGCTGCTGCAGCTGCAGCAGCCGCTGCAGCAACGGCAGCACGTACGCCAGCGTCTTCCCGCTGCCAGTCTTCCCCTCAATCAGCAAATCTCTGCCGTTCAAAGCGACAGGAATTACCTGAAGAGAATCAAAACCCAATTTAAGAAATAAAATATCATTTTAAAAATAAAAAGATCATTTAAAAAAGCTTTCACGAAAAAATTCATTCTTCTGGACCCACAGCAGCAAACAAACAGAAGCAAATCATGTGATAGCAGCCCGCTGCAACTGAAACGCTGGTGCTGCTGCTGCGTGACCGTAGCAACCGTGCGTGACTCACAGCAGCAGCAGCAGCAGCAGCAACAGCAGCAGCGGCAGCAGCAGCAACAGCGGCAGCAGGAGCAGCAACAGGAGCAGCAGCAGCAGCAGCAGGAACAGCAGCAGGAGTAGCAGCAGCAGCAGCAGCAGCAGCACCTGGGCCTGCACGTGAGTTGGATGCTGGAGATTGAGTCCATCGATGAGGGCCTTGGTGAGCCTCCTGTCCAAATGAACTGCTCCGAACTCTTTGAAAGTCTGCGAAGAGTCTATAACTCCGCATTTTTTGTGAACGAGAACTTCAGCTTCTGCTGCTGCTGCTGCTGCTGCTGCTGCTGCTGCTGCTGCAGGTGAATCGGCGTTTGCGGCTGCTGTTGCTTCTTCTGTTGCTGCAGCTGCAGATGAGCTCTTTGCGGGAATTTCGCCGCCTTCAGCCCCCTTTTTCTCCACAAAAGAAGAATTGTTTTTAGTTCTTTTTCTTTTTTTCGACGGAGATTGGGGTTTAGCGTCAAAAGTTTCGTTTTCTTTCCCGGGAAGCTCCGAAACTGCCTCAGGGTCACCAGTGGAATCCTCCGGGGAAATGCGGAGATTTTCTCCTTCGACTGCAGCAGAAGACAGTTTTTTCTTTTTGTTTTTCTTCCTTCGAGAGGAATCTTCTGCTTCTGTCGGTTTGCTGCTGGAAAGTTTGCAGCTTTCCGAATCTTGAGAGCCCTTCATGATGCCTCCAGGCAATTCCGAAGCTCCCAGGCCTGCCGGGCCGCTCCAAGTGGCCTCTGCAAGAAGAATTAATTAAATTAAATACTCTTTTGAAATACTTTTCGCAGCAGGCAAATTCCTTCTAACGAAATAACACACTTTGGAGGAAAATGAAGCTCCCCGGAGTTCAATCGAGTTCAAGTCGGGGCAGAAAGCTCCAAAAAAACCCTGCTGTTCCGCCTCAGAGAAAAATACTGAAAAAATCCCCAAATTCTGTTTTCTAAATATATAAGTTTAAATAAGGGGTTTAAGATGTGGTTAGAACAGCAAAAATGCTGCAGCCACACTCAGTGGCTGGCCTATGGGGCCAGGGCCCCACATGCAGCGCCTCACTCGGCGCAACAAATAAAAGAATAAGAAGTAAAAACAAATTTAAAATGCAGTTTAAATTAAAATAAAAAGGAAAAACAAAAAGTTCCAGAAGGATTCCAACAAATTGTGGAATTCTGAATCCCCACAACGCTCATCCTCCATGATCACGACTCTCCAGCACTCAACAGAGAGGATAAAGTGTTCCAAATTTGAAAAGTAATGTTCCAATTAATTCTAATTAAACTAAGAAGTACTCCACAGAAAACTTTCTTCAGGAAATAACCCCCTAGCTACTACCTATTCCACTCTTCACCCCATCTTCAACTCCCCAAAGGCTCCTCTGTGTGATCTTCTATTAACTGCTGCTATTCTCAAGGGAACAAAAGAAAAAAATTGGAGAAAATTAAATAAAAATTGGAGTTTAAAAAGTTCTGCAAATAATGCAGAAGTTCCTCGAGCTCCCCCAGTGAAGGTCGAGAGCCTCTAAGAACGCGAATTCATGTTCTTATTTTGAGCTTTTTCGCCATTTCGCAGTTCAAATGATCCATTTTTTCCAGGAAATCGTTTCTGATGTTTATTATAAAGGCTGGAAGTGCAGAAAATAACTAAAATTGTGAAAGTTTGAAACAATTTCGTTCAAATTGACTATTTTTACTTTTTAGAATCAGACAAATGCCTCGTGGAAATCAACAGGACTACCCAGGGCAAAGATTGCCTGGCCGTCGCTCATTCTTGTCATCGCGTCATCAGTTCATTTTTTCTCATTTTTTTGCCTCCTGGCCTCAAACAAAAGCAAATAAATAAATAAAACAAAAATAAAGAGAAATTAAAATATATTTAAATCATAAATAACTTTAAAACGCATGCAACAACCGCAGCATCAGTGTAACTATGACTAAGTGCCCTCAGCCGTGGCGGAAGCTCGTGCGCAGCGCCAGAACGGCGCTGCGCGGAAGCTTCCTCAGGAAGCAAAGTTGTGCATCCTTTTGCTGCGAATTTGAATTAAAAAGCAAATAAAATAAAAATAATTATTAAATAAATATAATTTCGGGAGAAAAAGCCGAGAAAAACAGTCAGACAAATGCCTTTAATAATCACTTTCGACGCATGCAACAAATACTGCCGCCGCGATCTTCATACTTGTCATCTTGTCATCATTTTGCGAAAAGTTTCACCACAAACTTTCATTATTTCGGAAAACTTTTGCCATTTTGCAAAAACTTCCATCAAAAACTTATTAATTTTGCAAATACTTTCATCATTTTGCGAGAAGTTTCACCAAAACTTCAACAATTTTTCAAAAATCACCACAACTCCGCGAAAACTCTCACCAAAACATCCACAATTTCGCAAAAACTCTCATTATTTTGCAAAAACTTTCATTATTTTGCAAAAACTTTTAATATTTTGCAAAAGCATTTGAAAGTTTTCATCATTTTGCAGAAGTTTTCACAATTTTGCAAAAAGAAATCAAAAGATATGCAAAAATTCAACTTTCTCCGGATCAGAAATTTATCGGCTAATGTTGTCGTCAAGATCCTCTTGAAAGACTCAGGCCTATCATTGAAATCATCATGGAGAGAACAGATGCATGCATGCAACCTTTGCATGCATGCAATCTTTGCATGCATGCATGCAATCTTTGCATGCATGCATGCAATCTTTGCATGCATGCAAACATGAAACATTCTGCATGCATGCATGCATGCAAACATGAAACATTTTGCATGCATGCAGCCTTTGCATGCATGCAAAGATGAAACATTTTGCATGCATGCACAAAGAAAAAACACTTTACATGCATGCAGAGATAAAAGACTCTGCATGCATGCAGCCTTTGCATGCAATGCATTGCATGCATGCATGCAGGAAGCCCCAAATGCAGAAAAGTCTAAAACAAAAACTAAAATATATTTAATTAATTAAACACTCTGGAACTTGAGTGCATGCAAAAAGCTGCGCAGACACCTGAAAGCTGCAACCACCTACCTGGTGTACGTACACCGCAGCAGCAGCAGCAGCAAAACCGCCAAAGAAGAAAAACTTTTAAAAATCCAAACCAAAGTTTTTCGGGTTTTGTTTTCCCCTCTACAGTTCTCTTCCTGCAGCAGCAGCTGCTGCCCCCAAACCTTTACAGACACGAACCCATGCGCAGCAGCAACTGCAGCAGCAGCTGCAGCAGCAGCAGCAGCTAGCAGCAGCTAGCAGCTAGCAGCAGCAGCTAGCCGCAACTCCCCAGCTTCCTGCAGCCGCCTGAAACCCCCCAACCCCCCAAAAACCGCCACCACCACCCGCTGCTGCAGCAGCAGCAGCTGCTGCTGCTGCTGCTGCAGCAGCAGCAGCCCATGCTGCAGCAGGCCGCGCGAAGCCACAGTGAGAGCGGTGTTGGTCGAATCTGCTGCTGCAGCTGATCTCCCAAGCGCCGCGTCGGGCCCCCTGCTTCCGCACGCCCAGCAGCAGCAGCAGCAGCTGCTGCTGCTGCTGCAGCTGCTGCTGCAGCAGCAGCAGCTCACGCTGCAGCACGCCGTGTGAAGTTTCCGTGCGAGCGCCGGCGGCGGCCTCGAGGCCGCAGCAGCTGCTGCCGCCCGCCGCGCCTGCGCCCCCCCAGCCGCTGCCCCCGCAGCAGCAGGCTTGGTGAAGATGTAGTGGGCGTGGTGCTGGTCGCCGAGGGGCCGGATGAGCTGCTGTCTGTACAGCTCGCGAATGCCGCGGCGCGCGAGGGAGGCGTTGATTCGAAATCTTTCGCAAATGGAAAAAGGAGTTATTAATTTCATTTTTGGAACTTCAGAAAGAAACTTTTCCAAAGTTGCTGCTTCAAACATCACCGAATAATTCAACTTGTCCTTGCTCTTCCCCTTCGACCACTTCTGCAGCAGCAGCAGCAGCAGCAGCAGCGGCAGCGGCAGCTCCAGCGGCGCTCTCGCGACTGCTGCAGCAAGAATGCTGCTGCTGCTGCAGCAGCAGCTGCTGCTGCTGCTGCAGCAGCAGCTGCTGCTGCTGCTGCAGCAGCAGCAGCAGCTGTGCTGGTGGAAAGTGAATTAAAAGAATTAGTTGAAAGAAATAATTAATTTAATTAAATAAAAGATTAAAGTTTGCTGCAGCAAAACGAACCTTCTTGCTCTTCTTGCTGCCTGCGGCAGCAGCCGCGGCGATCTGCTCCTTGGTCTTCTTTTCCTTCGGCGCCATTCTGCTGCAGTCAAACCACTCCGCAAAAAGCAAAAAAGAGAATTAAAAGAATTAATAAAACTGCACAAATTAAAAGAATTAAAAAGAACTGACAAAGCGGAAAAAGCGGAAAGAAAAAGCGCTCCTCGAGGTGTACGTACACCCGGCTTCGCCGCAGCACCCCTCCCTATCTGCCGCCCGCAGCAGCAAAAGGACTCTTTTTGGGATTAAAAGTTTGCAAATTTCGAAATAAAAGTATTTAAATGAAAAATAAAAGAAAGAAAGGCATTTAAAGGGGCTTTTCTGCGAATTCAGGCGGTCTTAAGAGCCCCACCGCGGCCGAGACGGCGCGCGGGGAGCCCCCAGTCCGCTGCAGCGCCTCCGCAGCTCCCGAAGACTCACTCGCAAGTTTGAAGACCGAATTGAACAGAAAAGAATAAAAAAGAATAAAAGAAACTTCTGGAGAAGAAATGCTGCGGCTGCGGAGCTGCGGGGGAAGCGCAGCCCTCGCCCCGCAGCGATGCGGGCCTCCGCCCCAGCCCGTGCATGCAGCCAGCCCCGCTCGCCGCCCAAAAACGCAATCAAATGGACCTTTTTATTCAATTTAGTATTTCAAAACAGAAAATTATTCTTTTGGAGCTTCAAACTCCTCGATCTCGCTGCGGGGGAGTTTCCGTGGGGGTGCCTGAGGTGTATGTACAGTTGCAGCTGCACACTTTGTGAATTCGACCGCGCGGGAAAGCCGCAACTTATTGCATTTTATTCGCTTTAAAGTGCTCATTTGTTATTTTAAAACTTTTATTTATTATTATTAAACTCTTTTTCCTTGTTTTAAATCAATTTTGTGACAAAAAGCTCCACCAGGTGTTAAAAAAGTCGAAAATGCGAAGTTGGAAGCTTTTTCTAAATCTCCGGGTGTATAGACAGCAACAGATACAGCTGCGACCCAACTGGTTCATTTGAAAGAATATTTTGGGACATTTTATTACTTTTGATTTCCATTTTGATTTAAAAATGCATTTACACATTTCAAACTCTTGTTTTCATTTTGATGAAATCCCTAAGTGTCCAAATTGCTTCTTCCCTTCTGCGCAGCAACTTGCCACAGCCAATGCCTGGACACGAGGGAGATAAGGGTTTAGGGTTTAGGGTTTAGGGTTTAGGGTTTAGGGTTTAGGGTTTGGGGTTGAAAGGTTTGGTGTTCAGAGGGTTTTTGCACAGGGCGTGGGGTTTACAGGTTTTAGGGCATAGGGTTTAGGGTTTAGGGTTTAGGGTTTAGGGTTTAGGGTTTAGGGACTTTCAAATTATTTTTCAAAATGAAAAAGACACTTTTGGAAAACTTTTGCCACTTCAAAAAACAGCTTTTGCTGCTGCTTAATTTATTTCTGATTAAATAAAAGTCTTTTCTTTTAAATGCATGCAAATACCAAATTAAATAAATATCTTTTCTTTTAAATGCATGCAAGTAAACAATTAAATAAATATCTTCTTTTTGCATGCATTTAAATCATTTAAACTCGAAAACCCTCAGAGCAGCAGCAAATGCCAATTTGCGTTTTCTAGCTGCAGATTCTCGAGCTGCTTCTACAACAGGTTGCTGCTGCTGCTGCTGCTACTAGTACTGCTGCTGCTGCTGCTTCTGCTGCTGCTGCTGCTGCTGCTTCTGCTGCTGCTGCTGCTCCGCGAATTATGCTGCGTCTGAGTCGTAGCAGCAGCTGGGGGTTTCTCGTGCTGCAGCCAGCTTGAGTTTATCCCAGAATGAAATAAAAAAAGAATGTATTTTTAATTTTAAAATTAAATTTATAATTATATTTATAATAATAAAATAAATAAAATAAATGGATTGAAATAAGAACTTTAATGTAATATGTGCGGGCCAGCCTCCGGGCTTCTTGAAGTCCTGCCTGCTGCAGCGCTGCTCGGCGCTGCTGCTGCTGCTGCTGCTGGGAGCTGCTGCTGCTGCTTGGAGCTGCTGCTGCTGCTGCTGCTTGGAGCTGCTGCTGCTGCTGCTTGGAGCTGCTGCTGCTGCTGCTTGGAGCTGCTGCAGTGCTGCTCGGAGGAGCTGCTGCTGCTTGTAGCTGCTGCAGTGCTGCGTAGAGCTGTTGTTGCTGCTGCTGCCTGGAACTGCTGCTGCTGCTCGGAGCTGCTGCAGCGCTGCTTGGAGCTGCTGCAGTGCAGTTTGCAGCAGCAGCAATCCGCTGCTTTGAATTGCAGCAGCAGCAAAATTAAAATTCAAAAAAAGAATAAACTTTTTTGGAAATAAAGATTTTCAAAAGAAGACTAAAAGCTCCTCTTCTTATTTTGCTGCTGCGCCTTTGCTGCAGCAGCAGGCGACGCGTTTTGCTGCTGCACTTCAACGGACTTTTGAAATAAATGTTTAATGCAATTAATTGCTTTTTGAAATTAAATCTTTAATGCAATTAATTGCTTTTTGAAATAAATGTTTAATGCAATTAATTGCTTTTTGAAATTAAATCTTTAATGCAATTAATTGCTTTTTGAAATTAAATCTTTAATGCAATTAATTCG